ATACCCCACACATGCACACGGTCTCAGCAGGAAAAAAAGCCTGGCAAGTTGTCCAGTGGGGAAAGTGTTATAGAAAAAATGCATTTAAAAATTGAATTCATATGGTTGTTTTACTATATTTTGATATTTGCCAATATTTTGCTGTATACATTTTCCACACTAGTTTTGATCTTTATATGTAATGGCTCCAAAGTGTAGCTGGAGACACAGATCCTCTTTGGGTTTGTGTCAGGAAGGCCATCCATAACAACGTAAAACTGCCAAATCGATCTATGTAGAACATAGTGATGGGCTTCGTAACTTTTAACTTTAAGTCCAATCCGATAAATAATTTGGACATTTTTCTCCTCTACTAGCTGATGATGATGCAACTCATATTTACTCTTTTTTTTCTGTGCCCTGAATCTCTCATCACCTGACCTTAAAATAACCCCCAAAGGCCTTTGCCAAAAATGCCACCACCCTGTACATCTGTGCGTCCTTGTGAGGACATTTGATTCTCAACAGGATGGAACACAAAATACACACACACACACACACACACACACACACACACACACACGCATTTCTACTCTGGATGTGTTCTTTCTTGGAAAACAACACCTGCACATCACCACTGAAGATTTTAAATCCAACAATCAAGATGTGATTGAAGTACAGACTTTCAGTTTTAATTCAAGGAGTTTACTAAACAAACTGGTTATAACAGCAATTTTTAAACACAGTCCCACATTTAATTGGACTCACAATTAATCAGACAATTGACAAACAGTTTGATGGCCAGGTGTGCCTGTTTTTCTGTTATTTCATGAGAAATGAAGCAGCTATAATATCTTACGTTGATTCAAACTGCTGAATTTTTTGATGTCAGAACGGCATAATTAAGCTGAATGCACTGAGCAGCTCGGCTATTCTTTGACAAAAATGCTCTTTTCTCATTTTTAAGCTGGTTTTTTTTTTTTTGTTGCTGTTGATGTTTTGTTCTTTGTTAATCAGGTGATGATTAAAAACAAATGAATAAATATACAATAAAATATCTGGGGGGTACTTTGTGTATGAAAGCAGAAATCATCTCCTTTCTTTTGATCTATTCACTGTGTTCATATTCATAACACCAAATATTTTAGGGGTCTTAAAGATTAGTAAATATCATTAAAAAGCCTGGCAATTTGTCCAGTGGGGAAAGTGTTAT